TGTTTACACCTTCGAACATGGCCCGCCTCTCCAAGTCCCAATTCTTGCATGAGAAGAGGGTGTGCTCCGCGTTGTCCTCAGGGAACTGGCAATATGCACACACCTCGTAATCGCGTAATTTAAAGCGACACAGGTACGAGTTAAAACACCCGTGACCTGTGAGCGCCTGAGTCAAATAATAGGAAACCTGACCGTGTTTCCTATTTATCCAGGTGGCGAGTGCCGGGATAAGGCGATAAGTCCATCGACCTTTCTCCTCACCATCCCATATTTCTTGCCATCTTTCTATGAGCCTGTGCCTCGCTTCTTTGCGAATCAGGCCCTTGCTTGGTCTTAATTCCTCATCCAAGGAACTTCTTTCTTCAGAAAAGAGAAACATTTCTTCCCTTTCCCTCGCCAAAAGATCTGCTGGCGGGACACTTGCAAGGACCTGCACAGCACTCGTAGATACCGTCTTATATGCAGAGATGATACGCGTTGTTATCGATCTCTGCGCCGACGGTATCTTTTCACAGATGGTAACACATCTTTTGCTCCTCAGGGATGGGGCCCATGCTGGTGCTGCGTAGAGCATTTTAGCATGGGCGACACTCGCCACCAGTCTTCTTTTTTGTTCACGGGGTCCGCCAACATTTGGCATGAACCGTGAAAGATTAGCCGCACACTCGATCGCCTTATTTGACGCCGTAGCCATGTGGTGGTGCAAGTTTAACCTTCCATCCAACTCCACACCAAGGTATTTAATTTGTTTACTCCACTTGACCTCGAATCCGTCTATCACGATTCGTGGGAGCTCATAACCACGTCTGTCTGTGACCAGCAGTGCCTCGGTCTTTTCCAGGGCCATTTCAAGACCTCTGGTATCCAGCCAGCTTTTTGCTAGTCGCAGACATTCGTTCACCAATGTCCCAAGAGCCTCCTCACTTTCGGCAGTGCACACGAACAACGCGTCGTCCGCAAAGCCGATGATCATCGCACCTTCGGGCAGATCCATTCGCAGAAAATCATCGTAAGATACATTCCATACAAATTGACCCACCCTCGAGCCTTGAGGAGCCCCACGCTGCATCTCTTCCCTAAGAGTGCAGGTGTCTCCCTCATATATAACCCACCTGTCGCTAAGATAATTATCCATTATCCGCAACAAGTAGGGCGGCATGTTTTTCTTTTTCATCGACTCGATGAGATCTTTCCATCTTGCGGAATTAAACGCGTTGCGTATGTCAATTGCTACCAACGCGCAGAAGCTCTTCTTTTTCCCAGGTCCCAATTTGTTTTTTCCTGCTTTGGCTATGTCCACAACTGCCTGGATGGCATCAACTGTGGACTTGCCTTTACGGAAACCAAATTGGTGATCATAAAGACGATTCTCTTCGGTCAAGTGGCTTTGCATTCTCTGCAGAACCATATCCTCTAGAAGTTTACCCATCGTATCTAGCAGGCATATAGGCCTGTACGATGAAACCTTATCTAGAGGTTTTTCACCTTTCCTTAGGAGGACTAACCTCTGTCGCTTCCAGTCGCGGAAGAACTCTCCTCTCTCAAGGCAATGATTGAAGCATCGAAGCAGAATCTGGGGTGAAGTGTCGATTACCAACTTTAGGATCTCGTTACTTATCCCATCGATTCCAGGCGCCTTGCCTGTTTTCAATCTTTTGCCTGCTTTCTGCAGTTCACTAAGTGTGAAGAGTTTTTCCTCTTCGACTTTGCAAAAACTGCAGTCCCTTCTAAGGTATGGCTCCGCAGGAGGAAACAAAGAACTTATTATCTTTCTGACCCAATCGGAATTGTCCAGGCCGGGGGTCTTTTGCCTCGTCACTATTTTCTTAGTCACGATTTTAAAAGCAAGACCCCATGGGTCCTTATCGACTTCCTCGATTAGGTCCTTCCAGCTACGGCGTCGCGACTTGCGGATCTCTTTCTTGAGGTCCTTTTTCGCCTCCTTGAAAGCCTCTTTCAGCAAGGGATCTCCCTTAGATCGGGTATATGTCCTTCTTGCTTTGAGGCATTTCTTTCTCAAGGAGGCCAGTTTTTCTGACCACCAGTGCAAGGATTTTTTCCTTGGAAAGGCGCCTTTGCGACGTGGCATCGACGCATTGCAAGCGGTGATGATTATATTTCGCACCGCTCGCACCTCTCCATTTAGACTTTTCGGCCTCCTCAGCCAACCAGAATCCTCAATTAAAATAGATTCTTTTAGGGACCAGCCGAACTTCTCCTTGTCGATTTTCTTAATGTTCCACGAGAAGGTTTTGCGACTAGGAGCTTCCTGTCTTTTTCCTCCTCGTGTGTCTCCCATTGAGACTGAGAACTCAATGTACTGGTGGTCACTTGCTGTATATTCCTCAGAGACCCGCCAGTCGCTTATGCGGCTAAATATATTACACGATGCGATCGTTAGATCTATAATCGATCCGATCGCACCTCGTCTAAACGTCCATGTTTTTCCCCGGTTTACAACTAATAAATCGTTCTTGGAGAAATTCTCCAATCAGAATTCCTCTCTTGTCGAGCCTCGTCTCACCCCACTCTGGCGACTTTGCATTAAAATCGCCAGTGATGATGACATCCAGCTTGGATTCTATGAGGCTCGATTCTAGGTCTACTATATTGGCTTCGAAGGTGGTCAGCGGGTCGTTGGGTGAGAAGTAGCAGCTATACATACGTATGTTAGCCACCTCTATCCACACAAACCCGCTGCTTGTCTCCAAGAACTTGTCAACCCGCAATTCTGGGTTGCACAGCTTGATGGCGGCTCTTATCGCCTTATCCTGATACCAAGGTGCGAGGTCGCTTCCTTGATACTGCTCACTGCAGAACAGGATATCGACCTCATTTTCCCTAGCTGTTTGCATCAGGAGCACCTGTGCATCCTTACTTGTATGCAGGTTGACTTGAAGGAGCTATAGGGATTTGCCCTTTTAAGTTTCTCCAGTTCCTCCTTGTAAACCGGCAGGAAATTCTTCCAGGGATATAGTTGACTTCCGTTTTTTCCAAATCTGTACACGTTATGCACTTTGGCTTGTCACTAGTACACTTTTTGGAGAAGTGTCCCGCTTCGCCGCATCTCCGACAGTTTTTTGTTCTGTCGGGGCCCTTGCAAATTCGGGTCACGTGTCCATAGGCTAGGCACTTTTGACATCTTGTCACTTCTAAGTGCGTTCGGATGCATGCGTTTATCCAACCAATACGCACTTTGCCTAGCTTAAGCAGACTCTCGCTGTCCGTATTATTATTATTATTATTATTATTATTATTATTTTTTTTTATTCACGGGGGAGAAGAGGAAATGCATTTACGCATCCCCAGGAAGATTCCACTTACCTGGGGTATGTCGGACTCGTACAAAATGCAAGGAAAAAAAAGAAACCTCACATACCTGCTTTTAACGGCAGTCACCCTACCGACTAAAACCTCTTCTTGTTTCCCCTGGGTTTCGAACCTTCTATCCACCTACGGAACTACCTAGTGGCTTCAGACTTCGTAGATGAATGGTTCCATGTAGTCGCTGGCGCAACTCTCCCGTGCCGCTCTTGTTCTGGCCTTATTTTCTCCTTGTCCTTGACAAAGTCTTCTTTGCTTCCTCGAGGGCAGTTCTGAAGACCTTGCAACTCCCTGATCCGGCTACATGTTGGATGTTCTCCTTTTCGCCGAACTTCGCCTTGCATAAGAAGCATCATGGGCTCTTCTTACAGTCTGCTGCCTTATGGCCGGCTTCTCCGCACTTAAAGCACGCAGCCGACCTATCTACTGCATTGCAGTCTCGACCTATATGACCATAGTCAAGACACCTATGGCACCTTTTAACCATCACTCTACTTCTGATCCTGCAGGACACGAATCCAATTTTTACGTGACCCACCTTCTCCAGCTTATCAGCATCTTCCTGGCTGGTGACCACAACAGCGAGTTTCACTCCTCGCTTATTTGGCCCATGGACCGTCACCTTTCTGCTTCCAGCTGGAACTGTGGAAACTTTCTCCAGGGCATCCTCAACATCTTTCTTCTCAGTAATGGCATCCATGTCGCGACATGGATGCCCAGCTTATGGATGGATTTCCAGCGTAGTTCGCCGATCCGCCATCTGCACCTTACCCAAATCGCCGATTACCTTTGTCACCTCCTCGGTGAACAGCTTCTTGTTTGAAGACCCTCCAATTTTAATGAGAAGGTCTCCCTTTTTAGTGGGTAAAGCTCCCACAACCCTTGTCTGGCTGGCCTCCAGGTCAGCCTCCCTTCGAACCTTCGCCAGCACTTCAGCGAAAGTCTTTCCTTCGGCCACTTTAACGATCACTGTGGCTCTTCCCTTCTTGACTTGGTCTGGCTTTGGAACCGTCTTGTTCCCCTTGCCTCCAGTCTTTTTTGGTTTCTCCTCCTTTTTCCTTTTTGGATCCTTCGCAGGCTCAGGATCACTTCTCTTCCGCTTCTGAGCATCCAAGACGACGTTTCTCAACACGATTGCGTTACAGCGATCTCGTCTAGCTCTGCGATCTTGTCTAGCTTCTTCAGACCAGGTCAAACCCTGGTAGAAACTCTCGTCCTTTTTCGCAGCTGCTGCGTGCTTCTCCTTTACGTCCCTTATGAGCGATGTTAAGCTTTTCAGTCCATCCTTGATTGTCCTATTGACATTCTTCTGGACTTCACAGGACTTCAGCATCTTGCTGACCTCCTCCTCCATTTCTAGAATGCTCGCTGCCTCTTCCTCCCGCAGCTTAACGCATTCATCTCGATCTTGGTTGCAGCTTGCAATGTCCTTTGCCGAGGCATTACTGAAGACAGAAATGCAGCTGGCTTGACTCGTCACGCTGCTCGTACTCCCTCGTCTCTCCGACCTGTCCACGATGATCTGTGGCACTACCAACGCGTTGTTGCCCTCCTGCATCCTTGGGCCACTGGCCACCGCCCTCACGCTCGAAAGTGCTTGACGATCGGAACCAGTGAGGGATTTAGCCGTAGCATTACCCCGCAGGTACTCTTCCTCGTTTTTACAATCGCTCATGATGGATGTTTCTTGTTTGCTGGTTTTGGTCCGCGTCGAGTATTTGATTTCCTCGATACCACCTATTTCTAGGAAGCTAACCTATCCGCCACCTGGCACGCGTCCGATAGAGGACCAGCAACCCCGCGCAAAAGAACAGGTTCTTATGCGCCCCGGGTAGAACAAAAGTTCCAACTAGAACAAAAGTTCCAACCGGGCACGGATTTATTATTATTATTATTATTATTATTATTATTATTATTATTAATTTGACGCAACGTTGACAAGTAACTGTAACGTCCTGTAACGATGACGTCATATTTGAAATTTTCGTAATTTTTATATTTTATACAAAAACATATTTTCAAGAAAATATCTAAACTAAAAGAAGATAGTTATAAGCAGAAAAATCAACACTCTAAAATTTTGAGTTTTAATCTTAGAGTATACTATCTTCGTCTTCACACACAAATAGAGATTTCTTGAAACTATGTCCTTTTAGTCTATACCGCCAAAACGAAGATAAAATTCCATTAAGATGAACCTTATTTTGTACAACAGTCCCTTTTTACACAATTGTATCGACATATGTTTTCATGAAAATAATATTAAATTCTTTTAAAATATTCTGTTTAAATTTAAATAATGTTAATAAGATTCATAATGGCAAATTAATTAATTATTACTAATTAACAATAAAAATTATTAACAAGATAAATTATTTGTAACAAATTAAAAATATTTGTAACTATATAAAATTGACATAAATTAATTAATTAATTTTGATGTTCTGAATATTATAAACAAATAATTAACAATAAACAATTAACAATAATTAGAATTAATTGTTAAACAATTAATATATTAAAATCCAAAATTATTAAATAACAATTTTGATTATTTGTTTTAATAATTAATAGAATGTGTAAACAAATTATTAACAATTAACATTTAAACATTGTATTAATTAACAAATTGATTGGACAATTATTAAATAACGTAAATTTCATCAAATTGTTTGTATTAACCAAATAATTAATAATTTCATAATTGTTAATAATAATTGTAATTGTTAAATTAATTATTATAAACAACCGTATATTATTATGTTGAATATTCAAAATTTAGAAATATATTAAAATTAAGGAAAAATGCTATTTCTGTAAATTCTAGAAATTGGAGTTGGAGGGGAGATGAAGTTGAGGAAAGATAAGACTCAGCCACTTTTTAAAGATCCTCCTACGCTTAAAACTGATAAAAATGGGACGGACCCAAAATTCGCCTATCAGGCCCATTTCTTAATGCATTTTCTCTCCATTTTTTTTTCTTAAACCAATCCTAAAAATACTCAACCTCTTTTTCCCTTTCTACAATATTTTCATCCCGAATTTTCCTCCCTTGAGAAAATCAGTAGTGGGAACTGACACATAAATATATGTGTTCCTTAAGAAAACGTCAGTTACTACTCATCATTCAAAGTCACACTTAATCTTGAAATTCTAAAAATTTAAACTACTCAATTGAAATCACTTCTACTTCCATACTTCTCAGTGTTTCAAATTCTTAAGATTTCATCTCAGTTCTTCAAAATCAAATAAGTTATACTGAAATTAAAAATTCAAAGTTTCAAGTTTTCAAAAATTAAATTGTTTCAATTTCAAGTATACTTCAAACCGACCTCGACTTCATTCTCGTTCCAGCTTCAAATTCTACAATCTCTTTAACTATAAAAATTATATTAAAAAAAGTGAGTAATAACATTTAATTGCTGTCAAATTTCTTTCTTTCTAAAATCTTGTCACACATATTCCTATTCCTGTAATAAATTGTACTACGTTAATCCTTAGATTGATCTTAGTATAAATTCATTCCAATCTTTTTTTTAAATACAATTGACTCCTAAAAATATCTTTGCCCTTGATTCCGAGATCAAGTATTGAACTGTAAAAAAATCTCAGTTCAAAAAAAGATCTCATTCCTTTTATTTAAATTCTACTATCCTTAATTTTCTTCCAATCAAATCAAAGAAAAGTAGAAAACAACGAAAGTAATCCTAAGCTATTGGACGCAAGTCTAGGCCTTAAATAATAAATCATAATTAAATTTAATTAAAATGTAATATTTAATTAAATTTAAAATAAAGTATCATTACGAACCATAAATTTATTATTTTTGGGACGTAACATAACATTACTGCAATATTGCTTGATAAGGTTGCCGGAAGGTTACCGTGTAATGTTGAGGTAACCTTGCGAAGGTGGGACATATTAAGCTTTTAATAACAAAATAGCGTGAACCACCAAGAGATTCTACATTTAGAGGTTGGTAAAGTTGTAATTTTGATTATATAAGTTTCTAACGGCACCTCATAAATTTTATTTTTACAAATAAAAATTGTAAAAACAGTTTTATAAATTAAAATAACACTAAAAAATTATGCTTAAAATGTTCAGGATGTCAACTATTAATATATCCTGGAGCTTTCAGTTTAACAACTGGTCACTTGCATTGGACTCTTTTGCAACGTTCACGAGCAAATGATAATCAATTATATGTTGCGTGTGTTTCGCCTGCAAGAGGAACGAGTAGACACATTGCATATGGACATACCCAACTTACTGATCCATGGGGAACTATTTTGCGAGAATTGGAGGAAAAAGAAGATATGATAATTGAAGATAATATTGTTACGTACAAGGTACTTAACAGGTACTATTTTATTATTATTTTTCTTTTTAATAAAGCTACAAAAGATAGGACAGAATTTATAAAACATAAATTCCTATATATTTTATAATATTGTTTATAAATTTATAAACATTATTAATACTTAAAATTTTATATAATAAAAGAAACCTGTATTTGAAAATAATTAAAGGTAATGCATTTCACACATATGCATTAAGACGACCTAGGTGTATACGTTCACATCCACTGATTCCGCTGGCTAAAAGATCTAACACGACCACACCCCTGAGTTCTTCGCGTTACGGGCACACATACAAGCATGCTACACATGCCTCTGCTCATTGCCTTGTCTCTCCTATTGTCTTTCCTTGTCTCTCCTTCCTTTTCCCCTTTGGGCCTACATACTTAGGGACTAGAATATCATAACAAATGCACATGCATTTGGAGGCTGACTCAACGCTTTATGAAGCGTATATATTTTATTCGTTTTATGCACTATTCCAAATTTACAGAAAATAATTTGATAATAGCTAAACATTTTATTGTAACTTATTGTTAACAATAAAATACCGGAGGACTGTAAGTTGCATGTATATGTGTATATGAATAATTATGAATGCAAAATACATATACTAGTAACTTATAAAATGTAGGACCAATATAACTTTATTTATACAACTTATATTAAACACTTATAACTATAAATAAATTATAATTATAAATAAAAAAATTCTTTCTTTACAATATAATTATAATTTATATATTTAGTTATAAAAAAAAATTGTTTCTGATAAGTATCAAATTAACAACGCCGTTTCCGTTCTCCCGAAAACTGTATGCAATCAGAAACGTCAGCATAGTGCAAAGTCCAATGGGCCTGAAGAATTTCCCTACTTCTAATTCTAAAAATCCTTAGTTGACAAATTTACCCCACTTTGACATCAGGACAAGGAGTAGAGGCTTGTCGCAAAATTTCTATCGCTGCTGTACAATTTTCCTCTTCAAGCGATCAACACCTGTCCTGGCTGCGGCCTGACAGATCTGTTGATCGCAAGAAAGTAGGAAATGCCGCGACTAAGCCCGTCTGCGCGTCGGACCCCCGGGTATAACATATCAAGTACAACGCGAAAGGCAGACGAAAAATGTAATAGAATCTTCTAACCGACGGAGTCCAGTGAGAGCTGTTTTGAGTGAGATTCCAATTAATTAAATATTTAACAATTGTAAATCTTGTTTGTTAATCGGCCAGTCCGTACGTTTAGTACCTGCGCCGTCTCAATGCAGTGGCCCCACAAAATTCGCGACTTCGCGTAAATAAAAATTGGTCGCATAGACGACTTAATTTTCGACATTCAACTTGTGTTTTGCCAGATGGAGGATAACTGTTTCTCGACCGGCCAGTCCGCGCGCGTAGCGCCTGCGCCGTCTAAAAGAAATTATGCCCTGTCGGTAGGATTAAGGATTTTAGCGGTAAGTCTGTATCGTTTCAATGATTTAATGTTACTTTTAACTTTAATTCTCTTTCAAATATGTGCAAGTTTGTAAATTTCTTAAAATCTTGTTAAAATAAAATTTTAATGTGAATGACAAATCTGATTTTATTTATTTTAAAACTCCTGAAATAAATAAAGTAAATTGAAATAATTATTTATCAGAGTTAAAACAAAGCAGAAACGGTAACTTTTAAAAGTAGGATCACGAACCCACACAATTAAACAGGGCCTTAAAGACCCTGGCAGCTTGGTGCCTCCCCAAACCGAATTTAAATAAGAGCCATCTCAAAAGCTCGAATAAAAGGAACAACATAAATTTATTATTCTGGTTTGTAACAAATATAGGTAAAAATCAAAAGTAGAAACTCTAATATTAATTTTTTTAAGGGAAATGTAAAATATGATAAATTTAAATATTATTTAAAAATTTCCAATAATTTATAAACTTACAGATTTAAGTGTTATTGATGAAGTGAGATCACAAATTCCGATCTCCCGACAAAGACGCACAGATTTATATGATACTTTGTGGAAAAAGTCTTATAAATAAATGTTAATTTTGTTAATAAATGAAGCAAAGTCAATTAATAACTAAAAGAAGGTAATTGTTATTAAATAAGTTTCAGGAATTATAAAATCCATTTAACAAATTATAATATTTATATTAAGACATGCAAAAATAAAAAATCAACACTGTTAATTGATAAATAAAGTTATTTTTCACAAATAATAGGATTGATTAAATTAGAATAGACAATATCAATCATAATATATATATTTTTTTCAAATGTATCTGTACATAGATTTCTATAATGTACAATCGTTTGAATAATTTTTTAGCATAAAAGGCCCCTGGATGATAATAATGATTTTTATCTTATTTTTATCATTGTATGTATGGTTGGAGAACACACAAATATATTAAAAAATATATTAGCACAAAATTATACTATTTATAAATAAATTATTAATATATTGACTAATATATACTGCTGGCGAGTAAAACTCAATTAATTTGGTCAATTACGATTTTTACGATTATAAAATATATATGTGCTGTAATCATTAATTTCAATATATAATATTATACGGATCCACACTTTATTATTGCAGTTGAAATCGATGCTCAAAATTTTCTGAAAGTTCGCAAAGGTTTGTATTTTTTAAGGTTTAATTATTTTCTTAATTTAAAATTTTTAAAAAATAAAATTGTCTTAAGTCTCTTTGATTCAGAACAAAAAATTTTAACCTGAAAAGCATGTGACACATTTACATATATATATATATTTTTTTTTAAAGGAGGAGGGTCGATAAGGCCTGTTTTCGACCCCCTTGAAATTTCCATTTTAATGCTTGAAATACATTTTCCACCAAAGAAAAATGATAATTTTGATGATTGTAGGTTAAACATGAGGATGATTTGAGTATATTAACCCCTAAATAATAAGGGTTTTGTATAAAAAATGGGTCAAAAATAAGGGTAAAAAAATTTTCAATTAAGAATTAATTAGCTTCAAACTCTAAAATTCAAAATGGTGGATCTAAAATGGTGGATGACTTTTTAAAAAAATTAATTAATTGGCTTGAAAATCGCTACTCGGAAGTTTTTGGGGTCGCTGATTACGAATACGATGTCAGTTTTTAAAAATTCAAAATGGCGGATCCAATATAGCGATCAAAATTTTAAAATCACTTAAATTTATATAAAATTTGTTATTCGGGGGTTTTTGTGGTCGCTAAATCTGGCATCTGATTTTAAAAAATAATGAAATTAATTAATTAAATTTAAAAATTAAAATGAGTTTCAAAATTAATTAATATGAATTAATTAATATGAACAACTTTTAATTTTTATTAAACACCCTCATTTAACCTTCAATCATCATAATTATCTTTTTTTTGTGGAAATGTATTTTAAGCATTTAAATGAAAATTTTAAGGAGGCCGAAAACAGGTCTTATCGACCCTCTTCCTTTATTTAAAATTTAATTATTTTTATTTATTTATTTATTTTATTAAAATTTATTAATTAAAAATAATTTTGAAGTTTTATGAGATAACAATTTAACAATTGTTTTATTATTTTTAAAAAATGTTCTTAATATTTAAGAGTTTTTAAATTTATTTTAGTTGATTAATGCCATAATTTACGTGTCACTTGTGGCTTTAATAAAATTCTTTGCATACTGATTACAAATGTAAAATTTATAAAAACAATGCAGGATTTTTAAAGGTCAACCAGTATACTAATGTACACACATAATATGGAAATATTAATTCTATTTTTATTAACAAATATTTTTTACAATTTCTATTTTTGTAATAGTCGATGGAAAATATTAAGTTAAGATATGCAATTTCTAGACTCTAAAAATGGAAAAAATCAAAAGATATTTTGTTCTCGACAAATATAAGCATTTTTGCATTGTTATCAATTTTTATGTTTCATCTTATGATGAGATAATTAAAATTTGTATATTTAATTAATATACATATTTTAGCTTACACAGCACCTCTATATATATGTATTTTATCACACCGTTGCACTCTTAAGCACTAAAAATGGGTCCCATTGCATGAGAATTCAAATACATACGAAAAGAAAGAAAATAATGTTAACGATTTGTTTTACGTTTTTATACGCAGATAAAATCTATCATTCAGCAAAATTTTTCTAAATCACATTTTTAAATTATTGTAAAAGAAAAAAATTTTTTTTAAACATTACGTCGGGTATTGAATTTTTTAAATACTTAATTGTAAATTTTTCAAATATAAAATTTTTTACTTTTTGATTTCGAAAATTCAATAACAAAGTTGTGTTACTTAGATTCAAATTGTATGATCGTTATTTAGAAAACAAATATAAGAAAAGTTATATTATTCTTGCAATTTTTAATTTTCTTTGGAAAAAGAAATTTTGACTCTATTGCATTTTTTTCGTGTTTTTATTATGGTTGAAATATACCATAACTGCGATTTTATAAATCCAAATTTATTTTGGATTAAATTCCTAGAGGTTTATTACAATTATTGATTTATTACTTATTCCAGAAAAGTGATGAGAGTCGCACAATTTTCATAAATACATCTAATGAAACCTAAAATTAAAAAAAAGGTGCAAAGATTGTAAATAAACATATATTGACAAGTAAAAGATAGTCAAAAAATACATGACTACAATTCATTTTGATGAACAATTGAATCCAAATATTTTCTCCAATTTTTCATAAAAAGAGGAAGTTTAAAATTTTTTTTATTTTAATTAGTTGATAGTTGTAAATTTTTAAAAATGATATTAAAAAAAAAGAATTGGGTGGTCCGGGATTTCGAATTGGGATGTCGTTTCTTGAATTCGAGAAAACGACTTTTTCGAATTGGACTGATTTCTGAATTCAGAAATGTATGGTTCCGCGATCAACCCAATTCGACAGATATTTTAAAGATGAAAATAAAGAGTTTAACACTTCACTGGACATTGAACAGTAGTTAATTGAGACGGTGCACGTTATTCACGTAGGTGAATACATTTCTTTAAGCAATAATGTTAATTTTCAATAAAATAGAGAGAATTAAAAATTTGATGTGGTCTTTGTTTACAATAGAAAAAGTTTTCTACTTTTAGGGTTATTAAAACAGCTTACTTACCGACAGCTGAGAAGTATTATGATAACAAATCAAATGATGATTTCTATACGAAAGTATCATTTACGTCGGTAATTGAATATTAATAAATTAATTTTAAATTTTTAAACGGATTAAAATTTTTTTATTAAGAATATTTAAAAAAAAATTACAATAATTACTGTAATTAATATTTTTTTCAAAATATAATTATATGTTTGTTATAAAAATAATAATTTTAAAACAATTTATTTGAATCAACAAAAAAATAATTTCTTTTCTTGATTTTCATAATTAAAACGTTTTTAAATTATTTATTCTTCAATTTTATAAATTAGGATTAAATTAAGTATAAGTAAATAATGTTAAAATATTTCGTTTATTTAAAATCTTGATAAACAATTAAAATAACGTTTATATATAAATTTAAAAAAAATTTCTGCATAAAATGTTAATTCATAAATTTTCTCCTTCTGGTTCCTGTGACACTGAAGTTTTATAAAATTAAATTTTATTCAGTATGAAAAAAATATTTTATTTTAATACATTTCGATGACAACAATGATGCTCTCTTAAATATACTTAATATAGATGATTCCTAAATGTAAATATTCACAAGAGAAATAAAGAGTAAAGAAAAATAATTCTGCTTTAGCCTCATTTATTTTCATGATACAATTATTTTAATTTGCTCCATTTGAACTAAAGAGAAATTTATATTTAATTTAACATTTCTTCACGCAGAAAAATCCGATTGAAAATTGTGGAGTTCAGTGTTAGTAATTTAGATTTCATTCCAAAACTTGTCTACCTTTGCGGCTCCAAAATAGAAAACAGGGAAATGAATCGTAAAAGGTTTAAAGCACGTCAGTAGGCTTAAAATGTTTTCGTTCTTATGCACACTTATACGCGGAACAATGCACACTAAACACATTGATAGGCGCTTCTGGGCGGAGTCCAAGGCAAGTCTAGTGCCGAGTCCCATACTGAATATAATGTGAGCAGATCTTCTAGTGACCTACATTATTACTTTTATTTGTCAAAATATTTACTTTTATTGAAATATTTAATTTGAAACTAAATATAAAATCGAAAAATGAAACAACTGAAAATATTAGAATACTTTGAATTTTATAAAACTTCTCACTGGGATTTTTATTATTCTTTAGATATTTAAACGTAGAATCTCTTTAAAAATTAAATACAAGTCCTTTGCCATTTTTACTAAAATGATCTGTTTTAAAACGTTTAAAGAAAGAGATTTTATTTAAATATCTACAGATTAAATAAAAATTCCAATGCGAAGATTTTTAAAATTCAAAGTATTCTCTATTTTTTTAAAAATTATTTCATTTTAGACTTTACATTTAGTTGCCTAAATTAAACATTACAATAAAATATAATAACAATTA